AACTATTCACTGTTGTGAATGTGAACACTATGAGAAAAGTAAGATCATTTAAATAAAAAGAAATTCAAACTTTTGAGCTATTTAACAGAAACTTAATTATAGACTTTTTTACCCATTTTATTTTAAACTTGAGGAACTTATTTTGTTTCAGAGAACATTAGTAGTCTGTTTATGTGAAGACTTAAATACATCAGATGGGTTTTAAAGTGATAAATTTATTTAAATATGAATACTAGGAGGGGATATAAGTAAAGGGAAGAGTTGAGTTTTTGAATGATTGATGTGATTATGTTGAAAACCAGACTAAGAATCAATGCATTAAATGTTAATATTCTAACCTGAAAATCTAAGTTTATCTTTTCAAGTAACGATAAAGATATTTTAAAGAACCTGTGGTTCTTAGAAAATTAAGAACCTTCCCTGTGGTTCTTAGAAAATTAACATGTGGTTGGAGAATACCTATTTTTAAAACACACCCACATCCAATTTACTGATGTCATTTAGGCATCACCATGTTTTTGTCTCTTGTGTCTTCCTCTAAATGTTATCAATCTGAGACTGCTTTAGTATGGAGGTATCCTGTGCCTTCTCATGATTCATATGACTGATGAATATTGGAGTTTTCTAAGGGAAAGTATAAATGAGATACTAAAAAACTTGATAAGCTTTACTTTACCTTCCTTGTAAGGAAATTGAATATGTTTTCTACCTGTGATGTTAAACATTTTGTCCTTTGCACGTCAACAAATTAAAAATGCATTTGGATTTATGTAAACTATGTGTCATGGACACCTTTCTCTTGCTGTTTTCTGCAAGGTGATGAGTATATGGATTGGCAGTACCTACAACATAAATAACTAGGTTACAGATCGAGTTTAATTTGGTCTGGAGTACCAACATGTGTCTAGACAGTTGCAGCAATATTATCTGGAATTGGACACAAGTGTTTCATGTGATGCATCCATTCACTGGAGGACTGACTTTCAAAAGCACCCCTATATATGGAGTATGAGATACTTGCTCTTGTACTTCCTAACCTTTGTTGGGAATATAATATCCCAACATTGGCTCTGTTCTGCATCCAATTGACCATGTTGCAAGCACCTTCAGTGTTTCATTTTTCAGGCTGCTGCATAGCACCTTGCGAGTTTTGTGACCCTGGAACGTGCAGTTGATTGCTTTCAGGTATTGTCTGGTAGGAAGTCATTGAAAAGCAAAGACAATTGGGACCATGTCCTGCAGCAATGAAAATTAGTGTGCAGGAGATTGTTAAAAGAGAAGGTAACTTCAAGAATGACAACTCTGTTTTGTTAACCAAGCATCAAATAACTGAGGTAAAAATAATTACAATCAAACTAATCTTTAGCAAGTAGCTACATTTTAAAACTTTAATATTAATGTGTACTTAGCTAGTAGCACTGTGTCTCTATACCCTTTCATGACTCTGTTTATGCCACTTACCTAATTGGATGATCATTTTCTGAGCACCTATCAAGAGAACCAGAGATTGTTAAGCAGTCAAGTAATCCAAAGTTATCTAAGATGCCATTCTCACTTTTAGGAGATAATAACTTGGACACAGATATGATCAGTCTTTATACATGACTCTAATCATTACTATCACTATCATCACTACTATTATTGTCATAATTATCATCACCATAGCCCCTATCATCATTCATTCATTCATTCATTCATTCACTCATTTTGTATTATCTGTTGTATACCCAGTGTGTACCAAACACTGTTCGGAATGCAAAGAAATAGCAGAGAGCAAGATGAACTAGGTTACTTACATTACAAAACTTCTTTTCTGGAGAGCTGAGGCAGATAAAATGAACACTAAAACAGTTTAATATATATTGTTATATATATGATTAAATATAATATGACATTTGATATACAAAAAAAATGATAGCTTTATGAAGAAAATTTTAGCTGAGTGAAGGGAATAGTAGGGGATATGTTATGTTGTTTTAGAGAGGAGATGGTCAGGTAAGGTTTCCTGTGGAAGGAGTGTTTGAGATGAGACTTGGACAATGAATGCGAGGGTGTGGAGGGAGAACATCCCAAGCAGTACACTTAGTGTGAACTTTCTTGTACATTTAAGTAAGAATTTTCTTTAAATAATTTGTTTTAATTCTTGTAAGATTTTAGAATAATTATCATTAGTATTACAGTTAACATTTTTTAAAGAATCTGAGGCTTGAAAAATTAACAAAAATATTTGCCATCTCATCTCTATTGAGGACCAGATATAACCTGTTGATACAATGTATTTCATGCATTGTTTTCCTAGTGGAAGGAAAATCATATCTGGCCTTCATAATTAGGGAAAATTCCCCAAAGAAGAGACATTTGAGCAGGATGTTGGATGCTGACAATGTCTATAATTGGATGCACATGAAAAGGGTGGGATGGAGGGAAATTAGGTAATAGGATGTGTGGTGGACAGACAGGGGAGAATTACAGTAGGTGTTCATTAAGTCTGCTTGTTCCTGAACAGGGGTGCATAGGCACCCTGGGCATTGATGAGTCACTTCAGAGCAGCTGCATATTCTTATGTGTTCCTTCTAAGAAGAAAAAATTATCAGTGACATATGTTTTATTACTTTAAAAATGGTGTATTTTCTCAGTTTGCTGTGACAAGGAAAACAAATGTATTTGAAAGCATTACAGAATTCAGGAAAGCTTTTATATAACTATGGATTTCTTAAAGAAAAAGTATTAAAGTGCAACTATTATTATGTTGGGGCACCAATCATTCCTTGATTCATTGATGTATTGATTGATTCATGAATTTATCCTAGAAATATTTACTTTTAGAGCAGCATAGTACAATGGTTAAGGATATGTCCTCTGAAGCCCAGCTTATGGTCTGGGCCCTGATATCTCCACTTATTATCAGTGAGTGGATTGTTTTAAAATATCTTTTTAAATCTCATTTTTTTCATTTGTAAATCTGTCAAATTAATAGTAATTTCCCCTGATCTTTATGAGGATTATATGAGATTATGAATATGAAGTACTCAGTATAATAAATACACATAGTAAGATATTGAAGCTATTGTTAGTCTTAGACAATATAGGACAGCACATGGTGATTACATCATATTGAAACACAAAACAAAACAAAATCTGAAGCCATTTCTCTAACAATTTGCATTAAATTTAAGTGACAGTAAATCAAGTCAGAATTAGTTTATTTAAATTCTTGTTTACTCTTAATTCTTTTACTAAACTGAGAAGTCAGTTACCCTTTCTTAATCTCTTCCTTACATTGAGAAGTGATGTTACTTGGCTCACTTCCCTTTCAGGCAACAAATGCAAACAAGTTTATGATTTGTGGCCCACAACCACTTCCTATTTGCTGTCCCTTCTTTCATTAGAGTGTTTCAGAACTTTTTGACCATCCTAGGCTTTGATTTGCAGCATTGATCTCTCTACTCTGTCACTCTGACCCCCAAGTAGTCTTGAAGTAGAGCTTTTATATAGAAGAGTAACTTCACATCACACCTAGAAAACTGTAGTAACATTGAATTCCAGAAAATGGTGGGTTTATGGTCTTAATCCAACTATTTCTTGTCTTGACGTTGTTACTCTGACACTGATGATTTTAGGACCTACTCTCTTGATTTATGTGGAAAATATGAATTGAAATTCTAAGCAAAATACAAGAAGAATACAGATGTTGAATTATAGGCATTTAGAAGCATGAAAAAGAAGTGTAAAGCCTGTCATTTTAAAAAGTGGAATTGCCTTTTGTTGGATTTGGGTCATTAGACTGAAAGAAAAAGTGAAAGTGGTTAATCTCAGATGGGGTAAAACAAACAAGAACAAAATACCTCCTACATAGATTATCTTCTTGAATTTACTTAGAGCCTAATTCAAGTCCAAAGTGTTTATAGCAGGAGTAAATGCCAACTTCACTATATGAAAATTGGCTTCAATGCTTTTTAATCTGTGAGTCACAGGAACTCATTTATAGCTTATTAAATGTTTTCTATACTATTTATCTTTGTTTAAATCATGGCTGCTCTTTGGCTCCTTGAATGATTTATGCACACACAGTGAACTTTATATTTTGTTTATTTTTTCTCAAATCACTTAAATATTTCTGAATAAAGAAGGTTCTATTGGAGAAGAAGGGAAAGATGTTGGGGGATGGAGTAAGAAGAAACAGGAAGCTCCCTGTTTTTATAAATGTTATTGCAAAGAAAATCCAGCATACATTTCAAACCAGTGTGGTCTGTGCTGTGCTTTGGTGAATTATGTTTGCACATTTCTAGTCAAGAAAGTAGATCATCTGAAAATGAAGAGCTTTACTCTGTGCTTTGTGAGAGATCTCAAGTTTATCCTTTCCCATCCATCTTAACTCCCTGACAATATCATGCACGCTTCCCAGGGAGAGGATGCTGCTAAACATTGATATAGAAGCACTCATTTAATTTAGTTACTACACCCTGTTGATTTTTATGAGTGGTGGGGGAGCTGTTTAAAAGGCCCTGTTGTGTGGACAACTGTGCACTGCTCTGCAGTGGTGGTGTTTTGAATGGATTCCCTATCTTTCATCTTTTTTCCCCCATCCAGTTAGAAATGTAGTCTGTAGTGCTTTGGGAGTATTTGTATTTAAATCTTTATTTTAAGTTCTATTGTTACAAGAAAAAGATGTAAATGGACACAGTTTATTTCCATAATTATTTTTTAGAGTATTTTAGCTGCCATTCTCATGTTTATAGTCAATGCATTTAAAATCCCCTACATTTGGGATGATAGGACTAAAGCTCTCCTAGTTTCTCTCTTAGAGAAATAAGATTGCCCCCCAAAAGATAGCCATTTATAATGCATGCACCTTTGCATAATTAAATGAGGTACTGAAGAGGAAAAGGATTCTAATCAGCATTCAAACTGTGATTGTATCATGCACGGAATCATTTCTTTATGAATACATTTCTCCTGGAGCATTTATAATTATGGAACTTTTTTTTCTATCTCGGTAGGAACTGGGAAGTAACAGCCCTCCACAGAGAAACTGGAAGGGAATTGCTATTGCCCTGCTGGTGATTTTAGTTGTATGTTCACTCATCACTATGTCAGTCATCCTCTTAACCCCAGGTAATTGGTCTTTATTCCTCTCTTATGATGGTATTGTGGATGATAATTTCACATTCTAATGCCTTAAGAGGGTAGCCATATGTGATATCTTAGGGTGCATTAGCGTTGGTTGGAATAAAAAATGTATAACCAAACATTTTGCAAATGACACAGTAATTTTATTTAAATATCATGCAAAATATTTCGGGGAAGCTGAAATGAACAGTGAGAATATCAAGGAGATCTTTGGTCTCCATTGCTACTTAGAAATTTATCTTTGCTAGTTTAATAAATTCAGGGTACATTTGACTTTATTGTGGTTTGAAGATAAGAGTGGGGTCTGAAGGTTCCCATATGTAGTTGATGTACCAATTATAGTGACAGTGGTAAGGAGGCTTTGAGGGACAAAAAGGTTTAGATCAAAAGAGAATGAGCTAAGTCACTAAATGTTTTTTCTCCTTTTCCTTTCTTGTCCTGTACTGTTTACATTCTAAGTTTCTCTCTATGTGAAGAACAACTCCAAATTGCCTGCACAATGATATTTGGACTATGTGCTTTAGTTTGCAGTGCTTAACATAAATATACAAATTTTCAGTAGGCTCAGTTCTTATATGGGGATTATTTCAGTACATGGAAGTTTCAGCACTATTTAGCAGGTGCTAATATGGAAGGCAGAGAAAGTCTGCTCACTTTTTAAACTCCCCAAACTGCCTACTAGGAACCAATAAACTTGGCATGCTGCTATACCCACCCACTAGGTTCCATGAAGATTGGACACCCATATACAACTCAGAATTATAAAATATAGTCATTTCTGGGATAAGACTGAGTTGGCTCAAAACTCAACTGGTATTGTGAAGTTGTAGCCTATTGTTGAATGTGTTTCTGTTCTGTTATATCATGTTTGTATTATGTAGTCCCAGCTGGTTATTTTGGAGTTCATTAACTTGTTTCCTTAACTACAAAATATGATTAACAATAGATCTACTTCAGAGTCATTTAGTCAACTATTTATGATGGCCAATTATACAAATGGCAATATCAATTGTTTCAATGTGGTACTTTGTGAAATATGCCATTTTTGTCAAACTATAGACTTGAAATATATAACTCCTCAAAAATACAGTTTGTTGTTGTTATTTAACATAAGATATTGAGAAATTAAGAGAGTTAGGAGGGAACAAAAGGGAAGAAAAATAATTTAAAAAGAGAATGGAAAAATTTCTTGGTAAGAGCTGGCACATCCAGCATTTTCTTTAGGAACTCTCCTATAATTGCCTTATTTGTACTCCTGCAGTTACAGTGCAGTTGAGCAACATGATGGGTCTAAGTTGCTTCAAAATGCCAAGAATTTTTGTTAATGAAAAATGAGCTCATGTTCAGAATAGTGTTTCACTTAAAACTAAGAATTTTGGCATAATTTTTAAAAAGATTTTATTTATTTATTTTTAGAGAGGGAAGGGAGAGAGAAAGAGAGAGAAACATCAATGTGCGGTTGCTGGGGACCTTGGCATGCAACCCAGACATTTGCCCTGACTGGGAATCAAACCTGTGACACTTTGGTTCACAGCCCGTGCTCAATCCACTGATCTACGCCAGCCAGGGCCTGGCATAATTATTAAAAAAATGAATGACTCAGAGTTACTGCTTTCTATAGGTGATGGTTATTTCCTCCACCTGGAGGAAATTAGTGCCATGATTCCTGTGTGTTTCTCTTAAGCTTCCATCCTGATTCTATAACTTTTCCTGGTGATTCTTTCTCAGATTTTCTTGTTATTCTCTGAGGCCATACTGATACCTTGGGGTTCTTGCATGTTGGTATTACAGAAACCTTACAGAGTTGGCCATTTGCTAAATTAAACTTCCTCTGTTCAACCCTTTTCAGGGTGCTCCCATATGAAAACACAGTATTGTTGCACTCAGTTTGCCATACACTTATTCATTTATCAAAGGAAGGACTCAGGCAAGACTCACACCTCTGTTTGAGTTCTATGATTTACTGACTTTGGAAACTTGCCAGTTATTTGGCCTTGTCTTTTACTTCACTCATCTGTATTATGGGTATAATATATATTGCCAACTTTACAGTATTGTTATGAGGAATAAATATAATAATAAACTTCAAGTGTTTAGTATAGTGTCTAGTGTTGCTGCTGCTATCCCTCTTAAAACTGCTACTATTCAGAACTTATTGACCATTAGACACAATGCCAAGCACTGTATTCATGAGGGAGATTTCCAAATAAAGGTATAAAGTCTCTCAGGAATATAGATCATCTGTGATTTCATGTTACATTATGACAGGTAAAAATCTGGAGTCAGTCTTTCAGTTGTCTCTTTGTTCATTCATTTATTCCTTAATCAGTAGATAATTATGGGATTCTTACAACTTTCTAGGTGTTATGGTAGTTGGCTGATACCCCCTTACTTTATATCTTTGACTTCCAATTCTCTTCTTTCTCAACTACACAAACACACAGCAGCCAATGTATCCCCAACCTCAGGGCTTAATTTCATATTAGGTTAATTATATAAATAGAAGTGGAAAGAGTTACAGTTTACTAAGTGCATTTCACATACCACTTCTAAAAGTCTTTAGGTTTCACTATTAATTTTGGCAGGGATATTATGAAGTGAAAAACATAGAAGTCAGTATGCTGGAGTGGAAAATGTATTGTTATAGGAAGCAGATAACTTGTGTTCTATACTCTCTGTTTATAAACTCAGTGTCACTGGGGATCTGGAAGATTAGAAAATTGAAGTGGATTGGTGTAGTGAAAGTGGTTAGAAATATGCTTGAGTTATGAACAAATATATATTGGCCCAGTTACACGACCTTTATGAAGGGCTCAAACCAAATGTATCAGAGGGAAATATAAGGCAGGAACCCTAACAGTTTGTGACTCAAGACTTGAGTCATAAGCCTGGAGTCACACTTAAGTTATTGAATTAGAAAGGAATAAAAAATTGAGTTTGTTTAACCTGTAGTTCTGAGGACTGGAATGTGCATCAAGACCATTACTGTATACTTTTGATTTAGCATTTGTGCCTGTGCTTGTCTGCACTCAGACTTTAGCACTCTGATTGCACCAAGCCTTCCTCTGCTTGCCCACAGGTTTAATTCCCTCAGTTGTGCTAGGATAGATACACCAGAGAAAACTTCCAACTGGATAGGTAATATACCACACCTCCCCTCTCTCTTCTTATTTACCTTTTGCCTACCAATATGTTCCCAAGCTCAGCAGGTGGAAACTTTCAACCAGGAAGGGGAATTCATATTAGGAAAGGAAATTTCTGATTCTGAAATTATTCAGCAAGGTAAAAAATAACTAGCCCTCAGGAAAAAATGCTGACTCTAGAACAATCCTTCCAGTAAAGGATGGAGGTCAGAAATTCATATGTATTTTATAGCTATATGACCTTGGGCAAATTAGTCACCACCTTTGACCTCAACTTTTTTTGTTGAAGAAAAGGGCATCTTTGCTTTCCAGGATGGGAAGTGATCTCTGAAAGCTGATTACAGCTCTAATGTTGGTGATCTAATATAATAACAACAAGAACAGCAATAATACTGGCTTGTTTAATAACACATACAGCAACAAATAAATCTGGTGAGCTCTTTAGTTAAGCCTCTTATTCCTTGAAAATGTATTTAGTTTAGTTTAGTTTAGTTTTGTTTCATTTTATTTTGTTTGGGGGTGGTGAGGAAAGCATACAAGAAGTTACCTAGTCTAAGACATGATTTAGAAACTATTTTGCCCAAAATAGCATCACATTTTGCAGGTAAGTGCTAAGGAATGCAAGCCTATAACCAGAAAACACATGTTCATTGTAATTTTGGTTTGATTGCCAATTTTATTACAGAAGTAATTTGACATGGCTGTCTTAATTTGTCTGTAACTTCCCTGACTTGTGAGGAGAAGTCCTAATTATTTTTGAAGACTGGGTTAACCATTCAGGTATTTCTTTAATAAGTGTCTATTTCTGAAAGGAACAAATTTTTCACTCTATGTTTTTCTGATTAAAAAAACAGACATTTTTAAATGTATTGATCAAGCCCATTTTTGTTTGTATTGAATTTGTTTAAAGAACACAGAGTACCTGAATTTATTTTCATAACATACACATATGAGATCAAGAATTATAGTCTACAAATATATGAGAGCACTTTTATGCTAAAATTTGTGGAAACCAGTCTTATGTCTGTAGGGCAATACTCCAACCAACTGAGCCACAGAAGCCAGAGTTAGAGACAAATCTTAGGCAGCTATGCATTTACTTTTTAGTCTTATACTTGTATTTAATATGTAGAATGAGAATGAACATGGTCAGGAAACAGTTTGTGCACAATACAGCTACCTAGTTGTACCTGCTTGAGAAGAAAGATGTTTCTTTTATGAGTGACAAAGTATTTGATAGAGAGTATAGATCACAATCTTCCATTTCATTGCCATATTGAAATAGCCACAGGGGAATCTCATATTCCACCAGTTCTTCAGCAACAGTGGCCTGCTGCCCTTTGATTGATGTGTGTGATCAGTCAGTGTCAAAGCAAAGTCATCAGGTTAATTTACTGTCATGGCTGACTAAAAGCAAAGTTGTAAAGCAGTGAAATTGTTATCATTAGTTCTAGCTCTTGCTTTAGGCAATTTCTCATTCTTTCACTCTCCTTTCTAGGTGACAATTCTGGGTTGGTGTTTACAAGTTTATCAGTATACAAAATAAGCAAAGCTTTCATGTATAAGCCATGAGAATCCTGCATGATCATAGTCAAACAAGAATTGAATAAGGATCATTCAGTTTCACTATATAAATGCCTTTATTTTCACTTTTAGAAATATCCGTAATAGTGATAATTTTGCTCAAGGTTCAGATGCTATTTTGGAAAAGGGTTTACATTGGTTGAGATTGCTACTATGATATTGTCTAAGTAAATCTTTATGTGAGTTAAGGATTTGATCCATGAAATTATGCTCAAAGAGTTCATTTGAGCCAAGATTTAGAACTAATGAAGTGGATGG